GCTCATAACTAACTGTAGGTACAGTAGAGTAATAAAACGCAAGGAGAAGAATAAGAGTGTGCGTGGAACTTAGTTCCTTAAATATTTATTCCTTCTCCACTACAGCCTTCCTTCTCGCTGGTATCACAGCAAGGAGGGCGAGATATTGTCTCGCTCTCTGCGAGGTGAGATCTCGCTCATCTCGCTGCGAGATGGTCAAGGTGTCCGTGCCACGTCCTCGCTTACTCCTGTTGCGAGACGCGCCTAATGTTACGCGATTAGTGCACTACAAATAGTAGCTACCTTTAACGCGTCCTTGGTTAGGAGCGTTTATAACATTAGTCCCCTCTTCCTTAGTTACGTGTCCTCACATAGAACATAAGTAGGAGTAACCCTGCTTCCATCTATTTAGTAAGATGTCTTCCTCCAAACTTTATTGCTACTATTTGTTTTTAGAGATTAAAAACTTTAGTCTCCCAGTTTTATCGCCTTGCGACCTCTGCCTTTTTTATGGTTATATTTATATCGCCATAAAGTCTTATATTAAGTGTTCTAAGTATGTAAAAATGGGGAAACTATGTGTAAACTTATTATAGTCTTCTCTTAATTATACTTAAGAAAAATATACTAAAAGAGTGTTAGAAAATAAAAAAAAACTTGCCAAAGTGCTTGCTTACCTTATGTGTTATAAAAAGATTCTTTATTAAGCTAAGGAATGTGCAAAATAAAAAACTAAACATGCTCTTAATAAGCTTAATAAGAGTGTGGTTAATAAGAATAATTATTCTGCTGCTGCTGCTACTATTAGTCTTTCTCCCTTACTGTAAAAAACTTTTACTGGTATTAAAAATATAATTGCTATAAATAAGTTCTCCCTTTTTTTTTAAATTTAAATATTGTTGTATTTTTTCTCCACACTTAAACAGTATTTTTTTTATCTCTTAAGTGTTTTTTAAGTTTGGGTATCCTTTCCACTTTATTAAATACTTTTTGTTCTTCTTTTGCAGGATTTTTTCCACTTTAAACTTATATTCTTCCTCTAATTTATACCTAAATGCTTCTGCATATAATATATTTTTATCCGCTAATTCTAGTAAGGATAAATAAAACACTGGGTGGATTTAAGCGTCCTGCAGAAGGTTTAACTTATAATTAACCTTATTTTTTCTTTCTTTAATAATAAATAGACCAACCTTTATTATATTAAGCTTTTTGCATAATCTTTTTATTTTTAAATTTTTTATAAGTAAATATACTTTATCCCCCTCTTTTAGTTAAGGTTTATTTACTTTTTTATTGCTTTAAACTAAGCTTTTATTTCTTTTATTAATATTCTTAGCTATTTTATTGTGTACTGCCTTTATTATCTTTCTATAATCTTCTCCTAATACTAATATTATTACAATAGGTATTGGTTAAATTAGTAGTAATATATATCCTATTAGCCCTTAAATAAGCGCAAACTTTATTGTATTGGATTCTCTGGTGTTAATGCATAACTGTGCTATGGGTAATAATAATACCCAGTTATCTTATAAATTATTAACATAATATCTTAAGAACTATTCCAGTAATTAGTTTATCTATTTAGTCTATTTATCAGTCTCCTTATAATACGCTGTTAATAACTTGGTTTTAATTCTTAAGTTTGCTATTAATATTTGGAAGAATTTGGCCGTAAACCTTTTATCTCAGTCTAATATTATTAAGATAGGCAATCTAAAGTATAATATTACTCTTTTAAGGAGTATTTATACTGTTTCCTTTATCCCATACTTTTTGTTAAATAGGATTAGTATTATATACTTTATTAGTCTGCATATTATTATATAAATTGCTGTGTAGACTTCTCTAATTATTAAGTGCTTTAACACAGGCAAGTCTGTAATAAAGTCCATTATAATCTGCTCCTAAGGCCTTATTAGTGCTTAAATTGGTTGGATAATGCCTTTTCTTTTTTGGGTACTGTGCTTATTTTTTTTGCAGTAATCACATTTTGTTACATAGCTCTAAACTTTCTATTTTATATTATTAAAAATGCAGTTTTAAGATATATTCTTAAGTGTTTATGCAACTTTAGGATGCCCATATTGTGGTTTATTATAATATCTTTAAATATAATAATTAATTTTATTATTTAGAATCTGTAATTTTTAAGTAATAATAGGGAACTGTTTGTCCTTATCTTCTAAGATATTAAAAATTAATCCAAACTTTTAGGGAGTGCTTTTAAGAGTGCCGTTATTCTTTTCCTTAAATACTGCTTAATATATTTTTTTATTTCCTTAATAATCTTCTTATTAATTTAAAGCATTTGCTTTTCCATTTTCCTTTCCTGGTGCGTAATATATAATAAATTTATATTATTTAAGGAGTTCTGCCTATTTAACTTGTTATTAGTTTAATTATTTTGTTGTTATAAATATTAACAGATTTTTGTAATTAGTATAAACATTTAGCTTGGGTGTTCCTTTTATGTACGCTCTTTAGTGCTCCATTGCTGCTACTATTGCTAGCAATTCCTTATTATGGATGTTATAATTTAGTTTAGCAGGAGTTATTTTTCTTAAGTAATATCCTATCAGTCTCTACTTCCTATTTACCCATTGCAATAGGCAGGCGCCTATTGCAAAATCTAAAGCATCTATCTTAAGCTTTAGTGATAACTTTAGGTTGCAGATTATTAGTTCCAGGTCTTTTATAATCTCCTCTTTAATAACTTTAAAGGCTCTTTTTTGTGGCTATTCCTATTTAAACAATTGCTCACCCTTTATGAGGTCCGTAAGTAATTTTGCTTTTTTGGAATATTTAGGGATAAATTATTAGTTAAAGTTTATAAATCCTAAGAAACTTTAAACCCCCTTAACATTTATTAGCTTTGGCTATGTTAAAACTAATTATACCTTTTTTAATTTTATTTAAATTTAATCTTTTCTTACCACATATCCTAAAAATATTACTTATTCTTAGTAAAAAACATACTTCTTTAGTAATAATTTAAGATTTCTTTTTTTTAAACACTCTAATACCATCTTTATATATTTTATATATTCTTCCTTTATTTTAGAATAGATTAGTATATTATTAAGATATACAATTATAAAAATATCTAGATATGGTTGTAATACATTATTAATCTATTCCTAACAGGTTGTAGGTGTGTTTATTAATCCAAATGGCATTACCAAGGATTTAAATAGTCCATATTTTGTTCTAAATACAGTTTTTTATTCCTCACCTTCTTTTATGCGGATAGAATTATAGGCATCTCTTTAATCTAATAATATAAGCCACTTTGCTCCGGTTAGGCAGTCTCTTAATTCTGCCGCATTAAGTAACAAGTACCTATTCTTAATTATAATAGTATTAAGTTTTTGGTAATTAACACATAATTGCAGTTTTTTATTTTTTTTAGGAATAAAAAGTATAAAATATCCTGCTAAAAACTCTAATTTTTGGATAAATCCTTTCTTAAGGTTTTTTTTTAGCTATTCTTAAAGTATTTCTAGTTCTTTTTATGACTGGGGATATAAAGGTCTAAAAGTGGGTTGCTTCCCTGGCTTTAATTTTATTTTATAATCCTATAATTAGTGCGGAGGCAGTACCTTTTCTGCCCTCCCTTTCTTAAAGAGTGGTAAATACTCCTTATATTTAAAAGGTATTATTATAAGTTCAGCGTTCTTACGCTTTATGTTATCCCTTAATTAACCTTCTACCTTTATTAAAGTATTGGATATATTGGATCCAGTTTATCTTTTTTAATTATCCTTATTTATTAATATTAGAGTTATATTATAGCCTGTCCTTATCTCATCCCTAAAGCAATCCTCTGCTCCTCTGGGGTTTTATACAATGCTGTGTTTGCACCTAAAGAATGTAATTTCTTTTATTTCCTAATTAATATCCGGGTTATAACTTTGTAATTATAATAATCTAAGTATAATATTATACCTAATTAGATTTATAATATTAAGTTGGATTTCCTTAGTATGCCCTTGCGTAATTATAAAAATAAGTTCTGTCTTAATATTCACCTATCCTTATTCTGCAAGTTGTGGTTTAATAACTTTATATAAATTATATAGCTTTTCTTTTTTCTTAGTGTTAAGTTTAATCCTCTTAATAATTATTGCTGTTATTATGTTTATTAATGCATTATTATTAATTATTGCTTTAACTTATTGGTTTTTAATTTTAACTTTAATTTTAAACAATCTTATTATTACTTTATTAGGGGATATTACATTATAACTTACTTATAACCCCTTTATAAGAAGTTGTTAACTTTTTCCTCTTTATTATTTATCTTCCTGGCGGTATTATAACACTTTTATTATTCCGGTTTTATGTTCTTATAATTTAGGTGATATTTATAGCAATTTAGGTTGTTGCATTAACATTTCGCACAATAGTCCGCTTGCTCTTGGCGGTGTTTAACACACACAGTGCTAACACATCTCAGCCAGTTTATTATTTAACACATGGATGGTTTATAAGGTGGTTTTGGGCATAGTCCTTGTTTAGATTAACTTCTTCCTAAAGCTATATTATTATTTACTCTGTGGTATGGGCAGATCTCTTTTTCTCTGCAGAACCTCTTATTTAGTCGGCTGTGATCCCCTTCTTATTTTTGGTAAAATTTACAATCCTTTGCCCAACATACTATAAAGTATTAGAACTTATAACATAGTTTCTGCTTATGTTATTTTTTTGCCCATTAATATTTTTTGTATTTATTATTTTAACATTCCTCCCATCCAATTATCTAATTATGGTTGGGATGTTATAAGAGTTTATGGACTTCTTTCTAATATTAGAAATTCCTTTATTTTTAATCCCACATAATTGGTAGAAGCTTAGGCTTTATGCTTATACTTGCCCTATGGATATCACACTCTTATAATAAACACCGTCCTAAAAGTTAATAATCTGGGTAGTCCTTTATTCTGGATACTAAGTGTATGTAATATTTATGCCTTTCTTAAGTCGCTTCCTTCCCTTAGATTGTATACATGGGTAATTATAAGTCCTCTTAGCTGTTTGTAGGGTTAATAACTTCTTCTTATAAAGTACTTTTTTCCTCTGCATTAAATTTATTGTTAATTGTTTAATACTAAAAAACATCTAAGTTCCTAGTATTATTATTATTTATTAGTTTATTAATAATAATTTTATTTTCTCCTAAATGGACTTAGGTTGCCATATTGAATTCTTCTTTACAATCCACCTTATTCTTGGATTAATAATTTCTTATTATATGCCCTGGTTTTTTATAAGTGTAGTACTTCCTTTTAATTTGGGCACCTTTTTCTTTCTTATTTTGTGCAAGGTTGGAGTACTAAACTTCTTCTATTAATTTATTATTACTGTAATATTAAATAATTCCTTTTATTCTTCCTGCTGGGATGTATAATGCTAATTGCTTTTTTATACGCCTTGCGTAAAGTTTATTATCTAGTTTAATTAAGGTATTAATAAGTTCTTATAATATATTAATAAAGCCGCTGTAGCATATTAGCTTATTTTTAATATTATCCTTAAGTCCTCTCCAGTACATAGGTTGTAATGCTTTATTATTCCACTTTAATTTGTTAAAATACTTTTGGAACTTAGCTGCATAATCCGCTGTTAAAGTTTTTTATATTAGGTTTTAAATTGCTTACTCTGCTATCTTAATTTTATTAAAGATTCTAAAAATTTATTTAAGCTCTTTTTTAAATTAAGGGAATCTTATAAAAAAACTGTTAGGGTCCTCCAAGTTATTAAAATATAAAGTTAATTTAGGTTTTATCCAGTATTAAGCCTGTCCTCTTAAGTATAATAAAATTACTAAAGTTTATTAATTATTTAGAATTCTTTTAAATAAGAAGTAGAGTTGGATTTAGTATAGCTATTCTTCCAACTTACTTTTTTCCCTAAAGTACTTATTAGGTTATCCCACTTTGCCTTCCTTTAATAGGGCTTTGGTGCGGGACTCCGGCCGCGGAGTAAATCCTAATTAACTCATCCTTAAGGGCGTTTTATTATATTATAAGCCTATACCCCCTAGTATAAGCACAGCTTATAGCAGGTATGTAGAGTGGTCTTAGGGTTTTCACGTAGGAGCGGAGTGTTAAGGATCCAATAATGTAAGAAGGGTTATTAAGCTTTAAACAACTTGGTAATAAATAAGGACTTATTTAATTTAGCTTATAACTAATTATAAGTATAATTTTGGGTATAATACAGTAAAGTAATAAAACGTAAGAAGAAGAATAAGAGTGTGCTTAGAACTTAGTTCCTTAAATATTTATTCCTTCTCCACTACAGCCTTCCTTCTTACTAATGTTGCAGCAAGGAGGGCGAGATGTT